TGAAGTTTTTCTCTAAATAAAAGCAATTTATTACAACAAGTATGAATTTTGTCTTTGAAACTAGCAATTAAACCGAAGGCATTTTTTGTTTCATCCTCCTACGAGGTTGAAGATAAACAATATTTTTTGGCACTTTAATTCGATACGCATTTGTTTCGCAAAGGAGGACGTCCTTTCGCAATCAAGAGGACGTCCTTGCCGTGCAGTTCACAGCCTGCAGCGCCCACAAATCAATCAATCGGCCCCAATTGAGGCATCAAATGCAAATAATATTTGGCCACAACAACTGACTTTTTGTTTTAAGTGAATAATTGTGAGCCGATCTGTTGGCTGCCTTGCAATGTCATGAGGGCGTTTTGCCGCAATTAACTCAATGAACTTTGCCCAAGATAATACAGACTGAAAGATTGAGAGAGAGAAAAAAAAAACTTACAAAGAGCAACAAAAACAAACAAACAGACCAACTATAGTAAAAATAAAAAAAAAAAAACAGAAAAAATGGGAACAAAGCGCAATTTCGCTTATTGTTGTCCCTCAGTTATTGTTGTGGGGCGGCCTTTTCTTTTGGCTCTTTTATGGCTATTAAAAAAATTTACATTTTGAGTCTTAACCTTAAAAAGGCAGCTGCGAAGCAATGACTGATTGACTGATTGAATGCCTTACTATATGCCTCACCGTATAATTACACCTTCTTTTTTTCTTTTTTTTTTTTTTTTTGGTGGGCATGCTGATTTTTTAAAGGTTTCGAGTATTTCGCAACTTACTTGAAATTGACGCCTTCAACTGACGGTGAAAGATCGACAGATTCGCCGAGCAAAACCAAAAACTAAAGGCAAACGCAATGGCAAAGGCAATGGCAAAGGCAAAGGCGAAGGCATATGTACATTTGTCAATTTGGCCATCAATCAGTGTGCTTTGTCAATGCATCAATATATGTAGACAGTGGCGAGGCAGCATTACACATTTTTATTTAATCCAATTGGCAGCAGCTTGACGTATGTTTTTTCTTTTTTTTCTGTATTTGTTTTTGTTTTTGCTTTTTCATAAATTAGCGCACTTGTTTAAAAAATTAGTTCGATTGGGCAAGCAATGCTTGGAAAATGCACACGGGAGACAAATGGCATTTTTAAATGCTAACGACAACGGCCATTTATTTAAATTGGCAACAACAACAACAACAGCAACAACAACAGGGGCCATAGAAAAGCGACTTCATAAATTAAACGATCGATAAGACGCATCGGCAAACAAATTAATGAAAATAAAGCTGCGACAACCGACAACCGCCGACCGACAACAACAAAAGTGGCAAACACTTTTACACAACAACACACTACATACATACATACATACTTGAACCACGAGTAGACATGAATTGGCCTGATTTGCAATGACGCGCGCTCGCGATGCATAATTAGCTCATTAATTTCACAAAATTGATTTTGTGGAGCAGCGCGGGCGGTGAAAGTTCGCGACTACAAATTAATCAAAATCCAAGCGGCACATTTGAAATTGCAATCGCATTCAATTCGCTTCATTTAGTAATAAATCAATTTTATTCAACGAAAAAAAGTTCACATATAAACTAAATCATCAATATGCTAATTTAAAGTAGAGATGAGCAGCCGGTCGCTGGCAAAAACTGCCAGACATGCAAATAATTTGCACACAAATTTTACAAATACATAGACTCTGCAAAGTAATCTCCAAATGCAGGTATTGAGGCAGAAAATTATATTGAAGAAAAAATCAAAAGAATGAAATAAACTCGTGTTGCTCGGTGTGGCGATAAGAAGAGTCCACATACCAAGTTTGGTGAATGTGGGTTTAGCCGTTTTCGAAATACAAGCGTTCATCCAGACAGACGAACATGTTCTGATCCATTTCTCTCATCATGCTGCTTAAGAATTTTTACCCTTAATGGGCTGGGAGATGTTTCCTTCTCCCTGTTATAAACTTTGCACTTCGGATGCAGGGTATAAACAGTTTCAATGAGCATAGCCTCAAAAATAAATCCATTACTCAATGTTATCGACAATATCACTTATTGATATGGCGATCAGAAATTTCTAGCGAAAGTATTTCCAGTTATTTATTGGTATATTTCTAACATATTTTTACAGGCTTTATAGCTTTACATTTGTTGAAGCTGGACTGCAATTACTAAGTCACTAATTAAACATTATTTTTTTATTAATATGTAGTATACATGATTTTGTATTCATGTATTGATTGCTGTCCGGTTGTATTAGTATCAATGAATTGAATGTCGTGACACGTTGTGTTAATCCCACGATTCGAGCGCATCTCTAACAGCATTATGTAAATCAATTAATGAAAATGTGCGACACGCTGAGCAAACTTTTGTAAATCAATTCGCGGCATACGCTTAATCGACTTGATGCTGCATTGATTAATTATGACATTTTGTGCATTTTGCGCACCACAGCATTTCACTTTATTTATGAACTGTTTCGTTTGTGCCACACAAACACACACACACACACACACTCATAGTTTTTAGTTGCGACGAATGCAACAAAATACATGCGCATGCCCAACTCACTTTCAATGTGTGGCAATCTACTTAATTCGAACTTAATGATGTCTGAATTTCGCAGTACAAAAAAATAAAAGAGTAATAATTGCGTGTGCCCCGCACTGCGAAGCCCAATGGCGGTTTTGGCCTTTAAATATCGTTAGACACGCACCGTTGGCAGCCGGTCACTGCCATCAATCAAAAAGTTCCCGTTTCCCGTTTAATGCGAAATTCGTTATGAGAAATTTAAAGTCCACACTCACATACACGTAAGGTGATTTGTAAATGAATCAACAAATCAATCAGCAAATTACTCCATTGATTGTACAATGACAAATCCTATCACAAAACCTAACAAACAAACAAAAAACTCGAGCTGAAAAGTTATCATCGCCAGCGTCGAAGCTATATACCCTTCACTGTGTCTTACAATAAAACTGTATTCCTCCTGGATGATGGGCCGCAACCTGCGAGCTCCAACCTATCTTTCCTAGAAAAATATCCATGGGTTATGGACCCAGCATTTTTAATATGCAATTTGCTTCCCATATAGAAATATAGGGAGTCACTGATACAAAAACTATTTTAAAATTATATTTTTCTTAATACTTAACATATTACTTGTGTCTTTCAAAAAGCTCTACAAGCTGTGGGAGATGGAAGAAAATGTTAAACATGTTTTCAATGTATCCCTTTGCCTCGGCAAGTATTCCCGATTAACAAAAAAAAAAAAAAGAAGTGATTTCTGTGCCTTCTCGCACACCAAATACAATACTCCCTTAAATTTTTCTGTGAAGGGTATAGTAATCGATTTGGAGAAAGCAACGACACATACTTTTCGAGCCTCATCCGATTTCAATCAGAAATCAAATTCAAACGCAATACTTTACAAATGAGTGATTAGCTCGCATATGCTTAAACGAATAACGCAAATGGGGAGACAGATATATAAATAGGCAACAAGACATATGATGTCTCATTTAAAGCCAACATTGCTTATCCAAACACCAGTGCATAGAGGAACTAAGAAATTATAGTTGTAATCTGGACAATTCAACTAGAATTTATGTTATTTTCCATAAAATTAAAATTTACCTCAAATATCATTTTGATAAAATTATCATATCATGTTTAATACTTTTACTTAAGCACTGCACGTTTAATAAATCTGTCGATCAGTAAATAATATATATTGTTGCCTTCGCTTATATAATTGACAGTTCGTTTTCTCTTATGTACATCATAAGAAATAATTTGTTTAATAGCATGGCTAATAATGAATGGGTGCTTTGTGTAAATAGAAAAACGATCTTCTCGATTTCCAGTGTTGTTCTCAATACCGAGCATTTCATTTCATTTGATATATATATATATTTTTTTGGCAGTACTTTAATAAATCATCAGCAAAGAAATGAACAGCTCATCAACAAGCTTCTATATCTATATCTTTTTATATAGAAATTAACAATTGATATGTTCTTCTGTTCAAGCTGATGCCTCTCATTTAGTTATGTTTTATGTTTTTTACAAAAACTCTATCACTGGCTTTATGAACTTTAATTTACATGCCGACCCCATCAAGGTTCGAGTACATTTGTGAATTACCAATTCCATCGAAGTCATTGAGTTTTTCAAAGAGATTTCCAAGAAGATTTCTTCCGTATTGCAAGCATTACTTGTACACTACAAATACTACTTGAAAGGGTATTAGCTTGAAGTGGCTTGTTAGCGTATAAACGTATATTTGCTTATCATCTAGAAGGCATGTCTCGCAACCCATACTAACGAAAATAATGTCAGCTGTTAAAGTCGCAGCCGCACGCCTCTTGAGACGCCTCTTCCGATTCTACGCTTTAATTTCACAAGACGACCAATTATTAGAGCACCTAGCGTAGAAGCGGAGAACAGAAGAGCACGAGCAGGTTTTTCCCTGAGTCCAAAGCTTACTGGTATTGGTATTTGTCGCATGCAGTTTTTAGATAGATTTTAAAATAATAATAAGTTAACTCTATCTATGAAGTGTTCTGGCGAAACTAAGGTCGACGATAGACCAATTTCTGTTTATGTGGATAACATCATATCTTATCTGGAGCTTTAAGTGTATTTGTAATGCTATTTGCCAGACCAAACTGAACCTTTTGAAATCTTGCATGGGTGTTATCGGTATACAACAAATTCGCACAATGAAATCAAAACGCCGCTAATTATACTACCAGGGATAGTGCCAGTTTTCTACGAAGTAATGGAATCTAATCGTTTCGGATACTTTCTTTTAATATTGTTGAGCGCAGGCAGTTGGTTCAAGTGGTCTTTGCTTTGTGGCGCTATTGGCTTGGTTGGTTCAGTATCAGGTTTTTATGATAAGATATTCTTTATATTATGACGTTAGTGATGTGGTTTGGTGATGAGGGTCCTATAAATACTAGACTTCGGTTGCTCTGCGAATCATTATCTGTCCGTTTGACGAATCATGAAGTTGTTTGTTGCACTCGCTGCCTTGTTGGCCACCGCTGTGGCCATTCCGCTCGACGGACGTATCACGAACGGCGAAGTTGCTGAGGTGGGACAGTTCCCCTACCAGGTCGGTTTGAGTTTGGAATTCAAAGAGGGTGGAGCCTGGTGCGGTGGTACTTTGATTTCTGACCGCTGGGTAGTCACTGCTGCCCACTGTACTGACGGAGCCGAGAGCGCAACTGTTTATGTCGGAGCCACCAAAATTAAGGAGGAAGAGCCCGGCCAGCACCAGATATATGTGGACAAGAAGGACATCATTGTGCACGCCGGCTGGGATGCATCGAAGGTGGTCAACGATATTGCGCTAATTAAGCTGCCCGTTAAGCTCGAATTCAACGAGCGTGTGCGCGCCGCCACTTTGCCCAAGAAGGATGGTCGCTACTCGACCTATGCCGATGATATTGCCGTCGCTTCTGGCTGGGGTCTTGACAGTGACAAGTCCAACTCCGTCTCTCCTGTCCTGCGTTATGTTGAGCAGCCCATTATGGCATCCAGCAAGTGCAACATCTACTGGGCTGGCATGATCACCGATCAGACCATCTGTATGAGCACCAAGTCTGGCCGTTCCACCTGCAGCGGTGATTCCGGTGGCCCACTGGTCTACAAGGAGGATGGCATCGACTACTTGATCGGTGCTACCTCTTTCGGTCTGGCTCTCGGCTGCGAGAAGGGCTACCCCGCCGTTTTCACCCGCATCACCGCCTACTTGGATTGGATTGAGGAGAACAGCGGTGTGGTTAACAAATAAGTCACACCCCGCCCTCCGATTGACAATAAAACAACGCACATACACACAGATTATATGTTTAATAATTAATTGCCCTTTCGATTTCGGACTGTTCAGACCTGTTGAGATTTGGGTGAAGTTTCTTAAAGAAACCCACTTCAATATCAGTTCCATCTGCTCTGTTCAGTACCGCTATTTTGTAAACTATTTTTGCATCAATTTTGTTTTTTTTTTTTTCTTATCAGTGTACATATTTATTATTAAAAATTTAGAACGGCCCTAACAAATTAAAAGAAATTGGAATGTTATTAGATTCTTATGGTAGGCAACAAATATGTGAGATGTCACTAATGTTCTCATTAGTTACGCTAATCAAGCAGCCGACAGTTTGTCTGACTATCTGGTTGTGTGTCTAAATGCATCAAGGAATTAAAAAGATTTAATAATTTTCCACCGAAATCACAACGCTTGTTTACAAATGCTTAAAGAATTACAGATACATTTGCAAGAAATTCAATTAATTTCAAGAGTTGTTTGTTCTTCTTATCGTATTTGTTGGTGCGTGTTCTATCGTGACTCTTTAGGGTTACCCGCAACTTATCTGTATACGTATTCTATAAATATTGGTAGTATTAATAACGATGATAACTTATTAAATTAAAGTAGATGGTATCCATTCACTTTCAAGTGAACCCAAATAGGGAACATAATCAAAAAGATTATGTTCAAAATGGCCTGAATTGAAGCCCTATCGGTCTAGAAAACTATTTACATATATATAGTACGTGTAAGGTGAGGAATGCCCCCCTATTCAGTTTCTTCATTAGCTAAAACTGTAGGTTTTTTTATAAACTATTTCACGTCAGAATAAATGGAAATTGACCTGTCAGTCAAATAACTCTAATAAAGATGCATGTTATAATTCTTTTATTGCTTATTATTTACAGTCACGGAATTATAAAAATATATTAGAAAGAGTTCATTTATCAGTAACTTTAGTTTCACTTTCGATCGATTCTGTGAACTATCCTTGTGCCGCCCAAAAATTATTTCATAATCTTAAACTCAGGTGGCGTGCCTTTGAAAACTATTGTTTTATTTAAATTGGTGCACTATTAGTTCATGACATAAAATGGAATTATCTTCAAGTAATGATAAAAAAAAGTTCTAAATTTTTTTTAAAATTTATTTAATATTATTTGGCACTGATATTAAAGCTCAGAGAAGGAGAGAGAGAGCGAGAGAGAGAGAAAGAGGCAGAGAGAGGGAAGCCCGATGGAAGAAATTTGTTGCTTGCAAACTCACAACAATTGTTTGCCAATCCGTTTTCCATATATAAACACTCCAATCGATATTACCCCAAATCCAATTAATTGAAAGTCCCGCCTGCATATTTAAGGCTCAATCAGTGATTGCATGATGCGCAGATCAGTTGTCTAATGCCCCAATTGTTAAACGGCTGGACATGATTCAGCTGCTCTGCTCTGCTCTGCTCTGCCTTGGGTGTGTGCATGGCACACTTTTCGAATACTTGACCACTTTGTGCTCAGATTTGTGCTTTGTTTTCGGCCACAACAGAGAGACAGACAAACAGACAGACAGACAGCCGAGCAAGACGGGGAAAAAAAACAATTCATGTGACTGCGTTAGCTGCTGTTTGGTATTGTTATTGTTGTTATAATTGTTGTTGTAGTTGGCGCGCTTTATTGGCTGTTAGATTAATTGCAAAACAAATTACCACTAACTGACATGGCAACAACAACAACAACAGCAACAACACCAACCACAATAACTTGTTCAAGCTGCACTGAAAATGAAGAAGCGGAAAAGGTACGAGTGTTCGAGTATTTTTTTTCTTTCAACAAAAAAAAACTACAAAATGAAACGAAAACGTGCGCAGCGCATGGCGAGTTAATAAAACATAATTACAGAGCATTTAGACAGTCTATTGCCTTTAGCATTTTCGGTTAACACTACGGACACTGACACAGACATAGGCCGAGATCGGCCGACTAACTGACCGCTGGACAAGAGCATGTGATTTGCATATTTATGCAGTTGTTGTCGTTGTTGCTGTTGTTGTTGTTGTTGTTGCTTGCAGCGCAGTTGCAAGTGACGCCGTGTGAACGTGTGAGCCGCCACTCGAGTTTTGCGACAATTTCCAGGTGTATACATATATATTCATGTCCACTCGCCACTTAGAGTTTCAGTTGCCACACAGTGGTGCCAAACCTAAAGCTAAGTATAGGTCCACACAAGAATAAAGTCAAATGGGTGTCCAATTAAGACTAGAAATCTACAAGCATATAGTGCTATATATGGCATCATCAGGGAACTCAAAATGACAAAAAAAAATATATATATATCGCACAAACATATCAAGACTTTAAGGAAAACATATTTAGTTACTGTTTTCAATTTTAGTATTATTTCTGTTGTTTATACTATGAGTAGCTTAGAAGGTCTTTAATGGGCTAATTTTTGAATCATCCAGTTCAAGTTAAAAGGGACTTTATTACATTTTATAACTAAGTATTTGATGGCATCAGAAAAGATCAATGTGATCATTAAATTATGCTTTGGAATTATATTTATGTAGGATGTTGGGAATAAGGCGGTAATGACCGATGGTATGGCATTACTTCTTTTAAAATACTTGTAGATGATATGTTTTAGAATCGAGCTGCATTTAGAGAAGTTCGTTGCAAGTGAGTGTAAAAGAATGGAGTACAATTGTTGTTCGCTAAAGTGCTAATGGCTTTATAAGAGTTATTCATTAACTTAAGAGTAAAAGCATATCCCCAAATATCAATAAATAAAAATTATTTATAGTGTAACCGCCAACAAGATATAATTGTTTTGTGCAAAAATAAAACTGAATAGTTTGTAACCAATGCTTTGGTTTACACGCAACGTCTTTCTATCTAAAAGATTTTATTTTCCTGCAGTATTTTTACTGAAATATAATTAATTTTCGTGACTGAACTTTCTCCTACACATAGGTATTATTTTAATCTATGTAAATATATCCCAATAACTAATATTAAATACAAAATAAATATACACAAAAGTTATCCATCTGGCACTGCAATTTGGAAATTTAAATTTTAATTGAATTCTTTACAAAGTTCATTAATTAACATCAAATTTCAATAAGTTGTTAAACCAAACAGAACAGATTTTTGTGACCACACTACTTAGTATCAGCTGAATAGCTAGCTAGAATAATTAATACATTTTGTTTACAAATAATATTTCATAGATACTATGAAAAATGCGGTTTGGATATTTCGTTGAGCTCGATCGGAATTTGGAACCACTGTGTGCTGTTTCAATTTCAACTAACCTTCACCTTGTTGGCCAAAACGCTAGCGCTTACTAACGTGCTGCAGCGACAGTAGCAACAACAAACACAAAAACAAAAAACAAAAACAAAAACAACAGCAATGGCAATCCCGCCCTGCCCAACAGTTACAGTTTTTATTTTTTTGATATTTGCTTTTCATTTTCTGGCTATGGAAGGAGTGGGGAGCGGGTGGCGAGGGGTGAGATGTGAGATGTGGTGGGCATATGTGCCATGCGTTTCATGTGTCCGTCCCCGAAACGTGTTTGGCAGTGACTCAGCGCCAGCGCCAGCGTCAGCGTCGACGTCAGCGTCAATAGCGAATCAAGCTTGGCGGCAAATTTTAATGCGCACGCCTCGGTGCAAGTTGTTGCTGTTGTTTTTGTTTTTGTTTTTTTCTTATATTTTATTTGCTTTTTTTTTGACATTAATCTAATTTTCGTCGCGCACGTTTAATAGCCGTTGTCGTTTTCGTAGCTGTTGAAACAAATGTGTCAAAGCAGCTGCTGACATTAATTGCATTTGGCAGCAAAACGCGCAAATATCGCACATACGCCACGTAGTCTCAAGTGGATGAATACGTATAAGTATACATATGCTCGTATGTATAAATGGTTGGATAAATTGATAGATGGTTAGTTGGTAGATGGCTGCTGTTGCTGAAGTCAAAGTCAAAAGTGGCCAGCAACCAAAAGTGTTTACCGCTCATTTCTGCTCTGATCTGCTTTGCTCTGATCTGTAAGGGCATTCAACATTATACATTTCATTTTTGGCACACCGATATAATTAGCCATTGTACACGGCACGCATGTGTGTGTGTTTGTGTGTGTGTGTGTGTGTGTGAGTATTTGTGTGCATTTGCGTCATATTTTGCATTATGTCTTTATTATGGGCAGCTACCATAGCTCTTTCCTTCTTTTTTTCCATTGAATTTTATTGCTGATATTTATGGCCATTTGCTGTGTTGCAAATTCAACTTAGAAACCAATAAACATACACACACACAACAACACACAGACACATACACATATTTAAATATGTATTTATGTGGCAATAACGTGCACTTGCCTTGCGTTACAATTTGTTGTTGTTTGCGCTTTGTTACAATTGGCGTTTTAGGGCGCGTGCGCCCTTGCATAAATATTTTGAAAGGATTTTTTGGCATCGTCATCAACTGCTGTACAACAATTTTTTTCTTTAATCATTAATCATTCGCTTCAGATCAATACAGAAATACAATTTATTTGTTTGAAATTTTTATTGTGCCGTTTTTTTTTTTTTTTTTTTTTTTTTTGTATTATTATATATTTTTTGCCTACTGCCAAGTTTGTAATTAAAAATCGAGTTGCTTGATTTACACGCAAGCAATCAAGCGCATATGGCTAGACATATATACATACTATGATGATCCGCTCGATGATCACAATTCATTTCAGTTACATTCGAATTTATCTTACCAAGCCACATAAATCAGTTGCAAAGAAAATTGAAGAGCTTGCAAACTAAATTGGCAAACACAGCTGGGATTTGAAGGTACAAGACGCACTTTCAAAATATAACTTGACATTGTTAATCAACAATAATCATGCTAGCTATAGAGTTTAAAATGTGTAGCAATCAATATACACATACAAATAGTATTTATTATTGTGTAAACATGAAATATTAGTCTAACAAAACAATAAGACAATATATAGGGATTGTAAAAAAAACCTTTAACTAGATAAA